GTGTGGCAGATGCTCCAATATAATCACAGGGGCACCATACTTTAAAAGTGGTGCTGTCCTTTCGGATGAGACTTAAAACCAACTCCTTGTGGTCATTAATAATCCCAGGGTGTTTCTTGAAGAGTACGGGTGTTACCCTGGCGTCCTGGCCAAATTTCCCCCTGGCCTTTACCCATCATGGTCTCCTAATACCCCCCCTCTCTGAACTGGCTTCATCACTCTGCTCTCCTCCCCACTGAGAGCTGGTGTGTGGGGAGAGGACTGGTGCACTCTGGCTGCCGTCGCATCATCATTCTGGAGTGTCCAGAAAAGCGCTATAAAAGTATCAGGAATTATTATTTTCCGCTCAAAGCTGGGCTCTGGTAGGTGACTTAAAGCATCGAAAAGTGTATCCTGCCCTCTGGTGGACGTTACGGGGAACAGCAGGAGGGGTGATGTTTTTTTTTTTCCCCTAGCGCTCATTTAATACGAGACCCGTATTGGAACAGTTGGGGAATTTGTAACGAATACGCGTTGCCTTCATTTGCAGTCACAGGAAACCATGAGCTATTTCAGTATTAATGGGAGCTCACATGGTGGTCGTCTAGAATGATTAAAGTTTCAGTGTTTTCATTTTGAATCTAAAGTAAATCGTTAGAGTAAATGCGTCACACGGTACAGGCAAGGAAATCAGACCCCCATTGCTCAGTAACCAGATCCACCTCAGGCCCCTGCAGTATCAGGAACTTGTGCTCATCCCACACCACGCTTCCCCACTTGCTTTGAGCACATTACAAAAACCGAAGGACCGGACCATGTGCGTGTGCTTTTCGAACTACAAACAGGAGGCACTTCTTTACACGAAGAGTGGTGGGGGTCTGGTGCACGCTAGCCGGCCATGATGCGGAAGCCACAATTTTCTTTTTCTTTCAGGGGACAGCGGGGTGAGATGCTGGGATCGGTTAGCTACTAAACTACTGAGCTGGCTTAACGAGCCCAGTGTTTCCTCTCGTTTGTAAAAAAAAAAAACTATTTTCTGCTCTGCTACAGAATCGGGACCTTTTATTCGCCCAGTACAAGATAGACAAGGAATTTCTCCGGGCGCAGGCTTCGACATCAGTTCCAATAAGATAAAAGAGTAACAAAAAAGCAATCCACAGGTAAAGACAGATTTCAGTGATGTAGACAATTTAAAAGTCTATGCAGTTGATTAATACAGTGTACAGTGAATGCTGTGTATATTTACAGAAAGTATCAGTAGCGTGTGTCGTTAAATGAAAGAGTCATGGCCGGGGGGAGACACCATGCAGCTGTCGGTTAGTCCTGGTTTTTAGGGGTCCCCAGTGGTCTCTGCGGAGAGGGAACACGCTGGAAGAGAGAGGGGCCGGGGTGTGAGGGGTCGTCCTGGACAAGTACACAGCTCCTCGGCAGCTCGCCGTGATCGTCTAGTGCTCAGCACTCTGTGTTGTGGCCTCAACGACCCCGGGTCGAATCCGGGCCACGGCAGGTGTGAACCTGGCACAGCAGAGGAGTTCTCTTCGGGGCCGAGCGGCGGCTCTGTGGCTGAGGATCTGTGGCTGGAAGGTTGCCGGTTCAAATCCCGCGGCTGGCACAGGAATCCTACTCCATTGGGCCCCTGAGCCAGGCCCTTCACCCCAACTGCTCCAGGGGTGCCGTATAAATGGCTGACCCTGTGCTCTGACCCCCAGCTTCTCTCCCTTCTCTGTGTGTCTCCTGGAGAGCAAGCTGGGGTCTGTGAAAAGACAAATTCCTAATGCAAGAAATTGCATACGACCAATAAAGTGATCTTATCTTATCTTAACTGCTGTGCAACAGGACTCTGAGCTCTCTCCCTGTCGCAAGAACACAAGGATCACCGGAGAGGTGGAGAGTGACAGGAGAAACAGCCAAGCAGGAACTCTGACCCCTCTAGAGAAGACAGTCCACCTCCAACTGGCTACAGAGGGCCCAACCACACAGCCTGTCTCCCTCGCGGAGCCCAGCTTTGGTCCTGCAGAGCCACAGTCCGACTGGCTGCCCTTCAATCAGCAGCTTGGCAGAGGACCGGTGTGTGTCACCATCACCCTACCAAGCGTAGAGGGTCAGTTAGTTCAGGAATGGGCAGATTCCTTGGTCCAGACAAAGTGGAGTATTTTTAAAGGACACCCAGAAAACCGGCTGGACTGTGGCTCTCTGTCCCGGCCACAGAACACGCAGATGAATTCAGGAGAGGAAACAGGTTTCAGCACTTCTCACATCTGAACTGTTGGCAGTTCTAAGGGCGTTAGCGTCAGAGCAGGCACTTTTATTCAAAATGACTCATTATCAACCATTCTTGTCTAGGCACAGTTACGGCAGTTACAGTTAAACTGCTACAGGAATATAAAAAAACAACACAAACGAAACATCACAGACGACATCGCTCAGGGTTGCAGAAACTGCTGCTTTAAGGGTGACCATGCTGGACACTTGCTGGACAGGCCCAGGGCTGGCTGTGCTTGCTCTCGTTGGGACAGCCGTTCTGCTGTGATTGGACCTGACTGGACCCGCGCTCAGCGTTGAAGCGTGAGACAGACCTCCCAGAAGCTGCAGAAGGAAACGAGGCCTCCGGCGCCGGAAAAGGGAGGGACCGTTGTGCACGAGGACAGGGTCTGGAATTTCACATCCCAAGACGGCAGGTGAGGCCCGGATCAGTCCGCTCTCAGGTTCAGCTGCCCGTGTGAACAGAACAAAGCCCACTGCGTCTTTCAGAGATCTGAGCGATGTCATATCAGTGTGTCTGCAGTGGTATCCACTCCTCGTCCTGCAGGGCCAGTCAGTGTGTCTGCAGTGGTGTCCAGTCCTGGTCCAGGAGGGTCGGTCAGTGTGCCTGCAGTGGTGTCCAGTCCTGGTCCTGCAGGGCCGGTCAGTGTGTCTGCAGTGGTGTCCAGTCCTGGTCCTGCAGGGTCGGTCAGTGTGTCTGTAGGTGTTCCAGGTCTCCTTAAAGCAGCAGCACCAGCAGACTGACCAGCCCTCCGGGGGAAGGGGAGGACCGGTCTGGTCTGGTCTGGTCCAGTCCGGTCCGACTGAATCAAACGTCGCCCCTCCTGCCTGCAGTGTAACAGCATGTCTCATCGCTCTCCTGCCTTGAATTCCTTAATTCCCAGTCCACCTGCGTCTCCTGCAGGAGAGCCTCAGTCTTGGAGCGGCTCGGTTTAGGGGTCTCTGGGGTCTGCCACAGGTCCCCAAAATTCCCCTCCCCCCCGCTCTCTGCCCCTGGACCATTAAGGGGGAACCATCCATACTGTGGAAAAACGAGTGATTAGACTCGACTCCTCAAAACACAGAAGGCAGAAAAGCACCAGTGTGTGCTAGCCCCATGGGAACAGCATAAAATACCGAGAGCCCTCCCTTGAAATACCCAAAGTATATCATGAGGAACCCTGTCTAACTTTAGAGTGACATTTTAGGATAACCTGTCCTTCGGATGAGACGTAAAACCGAGGTCCTGACTGTCTGTGGTCATTAAAAAATCCCAGAGCATTTATTGGAAACAAAGAGTAGGGGTGTTACCCCAGTGTCCTGGCCATATTTCCCCCTGGCCTTGACCAATCATGGCCTCCTTATAACCCCCCTCTCTGAACTGGCCTCATCACTCTGCTCTCCTCCCCACTGAGAGCTGGTGTGTGGGGAGAGGACTGGAGCATCATCCAGGTGGGGCTGCACCCATTACCTGTACAGCGCTTTGAGTGGAGTGTCCAGAAAAGCGCTATAGAAGTGTAAGGAATTGTTATTAATCATTATGGATTTCACGGCGCCGGTGGCATACAGTACCCTGCTCGGACACCTCAGGTGCATTTTCATTCGATTTTATTGGAATGAACCAGCGAGCAGCGGTGTTTGGGCTCAGAAGGATTCTCTGCATTCGTCTGCATCACAGTCGACGCAGATTTGCGGTGTTTTCTGTACGCTGACACTGAAGGCACAAGCGGCTGTAGTCCCCTCGGAAAACGACCCACGACTGATCTACAGGCTCCTGCCCCACACCTCGGGGCAGTTTCCCGGAGAGCCTGTGTCTCGCTGTCGAGCCGCTTTCGCAGGGAGACGTGGAAGCCAGCAGGTGCTTTTCCCCTTCCATCAAACACTATCTGGGAAAATAATGCGCTAAACTACTCTTTTATTTATTTTAAAGTGTTTTTGACCCATACCGTCGTACAAGTCAACAAGAAAGTAACCTGTTTTATTTTATTTATTTTACTATAGCTACTTTACTTGCGTTCAAATCTACGTATTGTATTGCACAAGACGAGCTTCATCGCCAGCACAGCGGCCAGACTACCGCTGGACCGTGGTGGAAGACGTGCACAGGCGCGGAACAACTACACCTGCGCGCCGCAAGAGTTTCAGGAAACACCCAGCCTGCAAGAGAGCGCAGACCCAAAGTGAAACTGCTGCGGCTGACCCGTTTTCAGAGCTGCGACAGTTCATGCTGCTGCGTTAGAAACAGTTTTCGCGGAAACGCGGCAGGATTTCTTCTTTTTGCGTCGTCTCGTCGGGACGCCCCTCTTTGGCTGCTGAAGGGCAGGGCAGGGCAGCGCTGTCCCGTCCCCCCCCACCCTGAATTAAAAATGCCAGTTGAGCTAACGAACGATGTAATTAAATAGAAACCTGGTCTTTTCCTCGCCACCTCTGGCCCTCATTCATTCCGAAAGCCGCGGCGACCGGACACACGAGGCGGCTGAACCCTCTCTCTCGCGCGCGCGCTGCAGGAGCTCGCGGCGACTCCCTCGCGTCCTCCGCGTGCGGGCCGCCTGGGATGGGCGTTCACTTCTGGTTTTTTTTTTTTTTAAACGCTAACGGCCACTCCGCCGACCTGCCGCCGGTAGTTTCGAGAGAGAAAAAACACACACCTCGTTTTAATTTTCCTTTTAATCGTCCCACGCCCCCCGCCGCCGCGACAATGAGCCTTGCCTCGGGTACCGGTCCAATACGCCTCGTTCACCTCGAGGTGGGAGTGAAAGGGTAAGTTTATCCGTCGTATTTTTTATTTTTTTTCCTGGGCGCTTTGGTATACTTTTCGAAAGGAGGAATTGGCCGGAGTTTTCCCACGTTCGTATTTTCAGCGAATAAAAAATCCCCCCCCCCCCAAAAAAAAAGTTATTTTCGAGGTTTGAAACCTGCCAGGTATCACTACGGTAGGCGAAACACTCAACTCTTTTAACGCGGAGACGACTCAACTGTTCACGGGCGAGCTTCAGTTTATCGCTGTAAATTCCTTTAAAATCGGGGGGAAAACCCCCACAAAGACATACAATTCTGAATCTCCGTTTCGCACTTAAAGATGCTCGGTAATCACTTTTGTACAGCAATACGTTTTTTTCCGCTTTCTTAGCTTTGCTAGCTATTCAGTTTCAGTTTGGCTGTAAGAAGTCTGTACCGCCTGGGTCGTTTAGGAGATGAATGCGCTCCGGTGTCGGGATACACATTTTTATTGGCAAAATTGCATCGTCGTTCACAATAACGTTGTCATTGTTCTGTACATGTTCAGTATAAGTCTAATGAACGGATGTCTTCAAAACCGTTTATCTGCGTTACTCAGAAAGCATTTAACACCATCTCCCTAAGCTGAAACAGTTTCACATGATTTCAAAAAGGGAGTATCCTGTGAATAATTCAACTCCTTTACCTCCTATGTATAAACAGAAGAATGTGAATACATGTTAGGGTTTCCTGTTGAGGATTTCTTTAAAACTTAGTTTGCGCCATTTCTCAAGTTTTACAATTAGCTTTTAGATTCACCGCTGAAATATGGAGCGACATTGTACACTCTAGGTGTATAAAGTTTTCCCGCGGTTGTAATTTTAAATCGTACAAGGAAACAAAATAATAAACCTGCTACCTTTTCCGATAGACCATGAGTACTCATTCAAAAACTCGGGAATAATGAACCAACGACTGAGCTGAGTAAAAGCCAATCAGTTCGGGTTTTAGTGGACTTTCAAACGAAGAAGCTGCGCTCCAGACACCGCTGATGTTTGGACGGATCCGTTTCTTCGACCAATCGGAGCTGACTGGCATTTTTTTTAACCTATCAGCGCCTAGATAAGGCAATTGAGTGATTTTCTGGCAAGCCAATGACATTCACCGTAGATGAGTGTTGTTTCTCGTAGCCAATCAACGGCAGGACTTGGTCGTTGGGGGCGGGCTACTCCGGGGATCCTTTTCAGCGAGAGATTTTTGACTTCGCAGTTGCCATAGAGTTCTCGCGGGAACTCCGGGCCCCAGCCTGTAGTTTCCTATGGGCTAGATGGTGTAATCTCGCGAGAGCTACACTCACCGATGGGAGGGTGATGTGGGGAGGGGGGGGCTTCCAAAAGATGTGTAGTGAATTTTTTTATTTATTTATTTAAATATAAAAAATGGCCGCCGCAGAGAGCGGAGAGGAGAGACTGTAAGTGTGAATTAAAAATATTTCTCCCTGTGTCTTTTTAGATAAACGAGAAAGCAGTGGAGTCGTACAATGTGCACTATACAATTCTCTGTTTTAAAGAATTGCATATCTTCTTTGCTCACGGAAGGCGGGGTAAATACCCCATTAAAGGGGAGTATTTTCACCCGCTTTTTCATCTCAGTGGGGTGAGAAAATCAGTATTTGCGCGATTAGTACAGGGAAGAGGTGTGTGTGTTTATATGTGGTTATTTTTTATGTGTCTGTGAACTCAGTCCTGCATTGTTACGAATATTATTTTGCTTTATTGGTGTAGATTTCTACTTAATGCATTATTTTCCTAACTGCATCCCCACCCCCTTTGTAAGTAGAATTTAAAACACAGCTTTCTGTCTGTTTGGCTCTGAAAAGAAGTACACGGGAAGGACCGTGTTTTGATTTTCCTTTCCGTGCTGGTAACACTTTGAATAAAGGGTATGGGTGAGCTACTGGGCAGCTTTTCTCTGCGTATCAGAAAGTCCTGTGTGATTCGGCACCCTCACACAATGCGTATAAATAATGAACTTTTTGGATTTGAAAATGACACGCGATTAAATATGAGTCAAGATTGGTATTTTTTAACATGCAGCTGGGTGGTGTTTGTGTCGATGTTGACCGTTTTATAGGCAAGAAAAATGAAAGTGTATTTTGATTCCTGAACGTGTGTTCGTTTATGTGTATGGAGTGTGTTTTTTTCCTCCCTTGAAAAAGACCAGACTGGTGCACACGAGTCGATTATTACGTACAGCACAGATTAGATATATTTTAAACATTTAGACGAATCTATTGTTACAGTTGTCGGCACTGAAAGTTTTGTTTTAACAAGCTGTGTTTCTTAGAATTGGAAAAAGACACCTCTAGCTTCTCAAATACACTGAACAGGCTTGTTGCGTCATTTGTTATGCTAGGGGAAAAAACACTGGAGGTTAACATCTTTCTGCTATTAGCATTTCCGTTTCAAATCCGTGCTGTGTGCGATACAAATCCACGCGTATTTTTGTGTTTTAACCAGAAAAATGAAACGGCAGTTTCTGTCCTTGGAGGGGCTTAGATGGGCTTGGAACGATCCATCTGTCTGAACTGTGCAGTGTGTGATTTAACATTTTGCCACGACCAAAAAAAAAAAACACACAAATGCCCTTGTTTTTAAACTGAGAAATTTCAACTCGAAACGTCTAGGGAATAATTTTATGCGACATATCGAAGTGTGGTTTTGCTGATTATTGCTAAGAAACGCGGATGTGAGAGGTTTTATTGTCAGGATGCGGGATAAATACACCGGTGTACTTAGCATTTCAGCTCGAGTGGCGCCGCACACAGCCGTCTTCAAAGTGCGTCATTGTGTAGAAAGACGGTCATATTTTTGGGAAATGTTTTGTAAGGGGTGGGGGAAAAAGACGTGTTTGTGAAATATTATTTTTTCATTTCATATCTAAGAATTGTTCTTTTTTTAATTCACAGCCCTGCTCCTAATATTAAAAAAGGCTATTTTTGTGCTTAAATTCGCAAAAAACTGTCCACTTCACGGCTGGCCGTTTGTATTTATTATATTAGGTTGTTTTACTAAATGCATAATTTAAAATGAAACTATTTGGGTCTCAGTACAACACTAAAGCTCAACATATATTCTTGCCCGTGTCGTAGGTATATACACACAAATGTGTGTATTCGTAATGCAAAAATACATTTTGATAGTTACTTTAGTAGCCCTAGATGATTTATTAAAATATTTCATTAGATCTCCTTTGGTGTTAGAAGCAAGATTTTAGTGGAAATGAATATATACTAGTTTTTGATTTTACAGGAATAAGACGTTGCGACGCACGTCGTTTATTTGTTGTGTTTTCTTGCCACTGTTGTGTAAAACATTGTAAAAATCTAAAATGTTTACATCGGAATCCCCCGACTAGCGTTTCAGTTCCAAAAGTATTTCAGATGAATGTGCATTTGAAATAACTTTTTCAAGAATGAGTTGTCTTGGTTTTCCTGGTGAATAATTATTCAGTGTCTGCAGTATTTTAATACTTGGGCCTAATGTGCTCTTTAGATTTCTGAAGAAAATCAATTTCTCTGTTAATCAATAGTCGACGCTCGCTTGTCATTGTGAACTGGGTTCCAGCGTAGTTAAAAAGCGTTGCAGTTAAATTATAAACCAACAAGGAAGCACGATTGTATTCACACTTTTCAATTTACATGTTGCACATCCTGACTTTTACTTGCATGAGTATCTTGGATCGATTTTCAAGAACGAGTTCAGAAGTACATGTCAGCTGCTGAACATACACAGTGCTGTAAGCTCAAAGGCCCAACATATAATGACACTATTATTCATACAAGCAGTCGTAGCATAGGACATGTATTTACAGTTTTTTGTGTTTGCAAAGAACGTTTCTACTGTCTGTCTTTCAAGGTTTTTTACAATGTGCTGTATTTACATAGCTTCAATAATACTGCTACTGCAAATCCAAGGTGTAGTCACATTTATTTTCTTGCAGTAGAAATAACTATCCTGAAAAAAGTAATTTATCCTTTGAATGAGTTCCAAAATGTAAAGGCAGAGCTCTTGTCAGGATGCCGTGGTTAAAGCCAATGGCTAGATAGCTCATATTATTGGAAAAACTTAACAGAGTGCTTGAGAGAAGTTTCTGTGAATGCGTGTGACCTTCACAGTAATATGGTTTCAGACCTTAACTAGGGCCTTCATATCGGAGTATCAAATAGCTCATAACCTGTAGTGTTTTTAGTGTCTACCGTTGAAAGTCTGCCTTCACGTGCTGGAATGTGAAATCATTCCATTTTTAAAGAGTTTGGGATGGATTTCCTACTTTCCGCCACTGGCTTTTGTGCATGATGTGCAGGGGAGTTGCTTGGCTTCAGATAGTTTCCCGAGACCCACTCATTTCTAGCTGCTTATGTGCGTGCTTTATTTCCTGGAATGCAAAAAGTGGTGAGTCCAGCCGTGTTGTCTGCTAGCCTTTATTTCCAGGGTTTTTCCTGCCTTGAAAAGGGACGAAACTGTTCTTCTGGTTAAATTAGAGGGGGCTGTAGTCGTGCCTCATAAATGAGTTTAATATAAATTCCGGTTATATGCTTAAAACAAAAGCTTTTTGTTAAATGATGATTACGTAATTAAAAACTTGAAGTTTTATCATGTAAATGTTGGAAATAGGAGTCCGGGTGCATTTGTAAGGACTGCTCCCTCTTCTGGAGCACGATATATATTACTTCTTAAAGGAAAATTGGGTTTCTTCTGATTCTCCGACAATATGATATAAAATTGAATGTATCTTTGTGAAAATGTCAGAATCTATGTGGAGTTTTGAAAATGCTGTTGAATTGAGTATAGATATCGAATTATTTCACAACGGTCTTGGAATGCTCCAGAAGTTATTCTGATTAAATAGTCCTACCACAATCATTTATGGAAGTGCTTTTGTTTTTCCAGTTGTATAATTTGTTTGAGATGGTCCATATTTTGCTTTGTGTTTTTTAGCACAATTTACAAATAACTAGTGTTTCCAATTTCTCAGATAAA